TGGAAAAATGTCCTCGGGTGAGGATAAAAAATAAAAAAAAATAGTAGAGTAGGTAAAGCCAAGAAGCAAACCATCAATTTGGAATATTAGGAAGCAAAAAACACCCAATTTGAACAACAAAAAGAAAAAAGAATTTTAAAAAGTGAGAATAGTGTAAGGAGACTCAAGCGTGCCAACATTCGCATCTTGGGGGTGCCAGAAGGAGAAGAGAGAGATCAAGAAATTGAAAACCTATTTGAAATAATCATGGCAGAAAACTTCCCTAACTTGGTGAAGTAAACAGATATACAAGTACAGGAAGCACAGAGAGTCACAAACAAGATGAATCCCAAGAGACCCATACCAAGACACATCATCATCAAAATGCAAAAGGTTCAAGACAAAGAGAGAATCTTAAAAGCAGCAAGAAAAAAGCAGTTAGTTACCTACGAGGGAGTTCCCATGAGGCTGTCAGGTGATTTCTCAAAAGAAACTTTGCAGGCCAGAAGGGAGTGGCAAGAAATATTCAGAGTGATGAAAACCAACAACCTACAACCAAGGTTACTCTATCCTGCAAAGCTGTCATTTAGAATCGATGGCCATATAAAGACTTTCCCAGACAAGGAAAAGTTAAAGGAGTTCATCACCACCACACCGTTATTATATGAAATGTTGAAGGGTCTTTTTGAAGAAAAAGATAAAATGTATGAACAAACAAAATGGCAATGAATACATATCGACAATGGCATCTACCAACAAATTGAACAGGCAGAACAGAAACATTCTCATAGACACAGAGAAAATTTTGTTGGTTGCCAGATGGGAGGGGGGTTGAGGGAATGGGTGAAAAATGTGAAGGGATTAAGAAGAACAAATTTGTTGATAGACTGGCAAACCTGAAAGAGAAGGGGGTTGGAGAGTGGGAAGAAATAAACCAAAGAACTTACATGCATAACCAGTGGACTCAGACAACAGTGTGGGAAAAGGTGGGAGGGGGGCGGGATTTGGGAGGAGGGGACAATGGGGGGAAAATGAGGAACATCTGTAATACATTCAACAATAAAGATTTAAAAAAATTAAAAACCAATAAAAATATATTAAAAAAATAAAATGAAATTTAAATTAAAAAAAAATAATAATAAGACTAAGCTCTCAGCCCCTTGTTTGCAGCATTTAGGACATATTGATAATTGTTTATTAATAGCTCCTGAGTCCTCAGAGGATAAACAAGTACTTAGTAATAGCTGTTAAATTTTGTTTGAAGGAGTGTTTTCTCTTTTGTCCACATATTGATTTCCTGAACAATAGCTAACTATCTTAGCGATGATTTTCCTTGCACAAATATCTAGTTGTATTGGCGTACATGTTTTGTGATCCTATATTTTCTTATGGATTTGCCTAGTACAGAAATCATCTTTTCAGGGTCCCCTCATAACTTCTTAAGGAAGGGAATTGTTTTAACAAGAGTACACAGCACAATACCCACATTTTTTTAAAAAAAGGTATCCAGCAGTTTCATGGTTTTTTAAGTTTTAAAAAAATTTTTTTATTGATTTTTAGAGATAGAGGAAAAGAGAGAGAGAATCATTGTTTTGAGAGAGGAACATTGACAGGTTGCCTCCCGTACACGTATGCACCCAAATTGGGAATCAAACCTGCAACCTGGGTATGTGCCCTGATCGGGAATCTAACCAGTGAACTTTTGTTGCACGGGATGACACCCAAACAACTGAGCCGCACTGGCCAGGGCTCCATGGTTTTTCACTGTTCATTTTGTCCAGAATTTTTGGGAGAGTAAAATCTAGTGCTGGGGATTTATCAATGTGGCCTAATAACATGCATTGTCCAAAATGGCTCTTAGCAGATGGCAACTTCTATTGTGTTTTCTTCGATTTTAAATTAATGTAGTACTCACTAATCATGGCCAATTGAACACAAGTGTTCACTACAGCTCACTCACAAAATATCACAGTAAAGGGATAAAAATAATAAAAACACACCTACTAACATAGCATTAACAGGGGATGGATTCGCAGGGACACAGTTTCTACCAGCCCTTCTGTCTTCAAGCTCTCCTTACACCTTGGCTGACAAGTGTATGGTGCTGTGAAGTTTGGAGCCTCTCCAGAGCTCTGTGGCTTAAATTGTCTTGCTTTATTATGGGTTTGTGTTTTTTGTTTCTTTTCTGCCATTTTAGTTTGATTTCAGGAGGAATGGTAATAAAAACATGGGTTCAATTTGCCAAGTTTAACTGAAAGTCCTCTTTTTCTGTTTTTTTTTTTTTTTATGTTTCTGTCTGTCTGGTCTACCCAACTAGATCGTGAATTAATACCAAGACAACTACTGTTGAAGTGTTATTTATACATCGGTACAGTACCTTTTAAACAGAAGTTCTACTAAAGTTTGTGGTACCTTGACTACCACACACAAAAACTCTTGGGAGTGCACAAAAGATTTTTCTAGAACATTGGCAATTTCCTCAGCTTCCATCAGTACCCTCTCCTTAAATTCAACTGAGAATGTCTGCGGTCCTGTTATTGTATTGGCTTTCCTTTCTCTCTTGCTCTTTTCATAAGGCCATTCTCAATCTTTACTATGTACATATATACACATACATCTAATCTTTCTATGGCACAGTTTTTCCTGCGTGTAAAAATCTACAAGACAGCATACAAAAATACAATTTGAAATATTGCTTTGGGTCCACTTTTTTCAATTAAGACACCATAATCCAAGTTCTCTCTCTCTCCTATACTCTTTTTTTTTTTTTTCCTGTCAAGAACACAGCCTGGTGTCAGAAAATGGATATTTGTCCTACGTCTTAATTTACATATATTATAAAGTAGGCAGTAATGACAATTTTTAATTGAAGACTTCCCCTCTTCCATCTTTGTCAAAGAAAGTATTGCCTCTGAGGAAGAGTCCTGTGATAGGAAAACGAAGATAAGAAATGTTGAAGGTGGTGACATCTGATTTCTTCCAGCTAATGGAAAAACTCCACACCTTGTATAACTACCTTAGAACACTATCATTCAAAATTTGTAAAAACCATACTAAGACATTACCCAGATCTTAAATTCTAAACACTATCTAAAGCCAAGGCAGGTCCCTTGGAGAAGTGGTTGGTTCCAAAGATGGGTCAGGGAGGCAAGATGAATCTGAAACACCTTGTTGTCCCCGAAAGTAAGATAATACTAAAAAGAAAAAAAAAGGAGAAAATTTGTTCAAAGAACAAAGGAGCCAACCTGAAGGAGCTCCCCTGATAGCCAAAGGAGGAACAATTTGAGCAAAAAAATGGTATTATGGATTTTAACCCATATAACAAAATAAACATCTGAGTCCATACTATAAATAATTGATTAAATAAATATGGGGCAGATGAGACAGGTCTTCGTTATAACATTCCAATTAGTGTAAAAGAAGGAAATAGGAAATCACCATTGGCAAAACATCACTGTAATAACTGTCATACTCATGGATACAGAGAACATTTTGATGGTTGCTGGAGGGGAGAGGTTTGGGGGACTAGGGATTAAGAAGCACAAATTGGTAGATACAAAATAGTCCCTGGGATATAAAGTATAGCATAGGGAATATAGTCAGTAATATCGTATTAACTATGTAATAACTATTGTAATAACTATGGTACCAGATGAGTACTAGATTTATTGAGGTGATCACTTCGTAGGTTATATAAATGTCTAATCACTGGGTTGTACATCTGAAATTAATATAATGTTGTATGTCAACTGTAATTGAAAAATAAAAATTTATTTTAAAAATTTAACAGCCCTCCCTCCCCCAAATAACTGTCATAGACAACATCCACTAAAACTAGTGGGCATGAGGAGAAACAATTTGCATAGTCTCAAAGATCTCTCCCAAGATATCTATTAACTAAAAGGGAAAGACAGTAATTTTAAAGTGGAGAAAACTGACAGAAACCACCTTAACCAAGTGATCAAGGTCAATGTCATCAATAATATAATATGACATATTGATATTAGGAATCTTGTGATATGATGGACTGAGGATACAACTTCATTTCTGTGATATTCTTCCCAAAAGCATAACTTCAGTTCAATCATGAGAAAACTCAAATTGAGGAACATTAGACAAAATAACTGATACTCTTCAAAAGTGATAAGGGCCTGAAAAACAGACGGAAGAACTGTTAGACAGTAGCAGACATAGAAATAAGTAAATGCATTTTCTGGGTAATATTCTGGAATAGAAAAAGGACATTAGTATGAGTACTGGTGAAATATGAATAAGGTTTTTGGCTTATTTTATCAAATATTTCTTGGTTCTGATCATTGTACTAAGGTTATATAAATGCTAACATAAGGGAAAGCTAGGTGAAGTATATATGAAAATTGAAATGTCTTTACAACGTTTCTGTAAATCTATGATCAGTTCAAAATAAAGTTAGAATACATAAAACCATGAATATGAAGTACACCTTCTGTGCACTTTCTTCCATGTCCAGTACTAACTTGTGGCCTAATGCCATATTTTGATTCCAGGACAAAATTTCGATATTGTACAGTCATAGTAACAAAATATTTGGGGATGAAAATCTATTATCTAATGACTTCTTTTGAAATGGTTGTGGTTGAGAAATAATACATTTACTAAAGACTGGCAGTAAGTAAAACAGCAGAGATAACAGAAGCGTAAGCCTGTGAGCACAAACTTCGAGTTTTATTTCATTGCAAGTGATGTTACCCACATACACATTTTTCTCCTCCAAGTTTAACTGCTGAAATTACTGTTAATGAGACCATATTGTAAAATGTGTTTAATTACTAATTTATTAAATTTTCCTGTCAATTGATACATTCTGTATGGAGCCTCTGAAGGACGTTTTGAGAGTTTATTTACAATCACTAGAAGCAGGTGGTTCTGTAAAACAGGTAATTGCAGGCTCCTTAAACTCACAACATACACATATTCCAATGTTTAAATAAATAGAAGCCTATTTTCTTCCAACGTAGTTTTCTCCCACTTTCTCATAAAAATATAAAAAAGACAACAATCATAGTTTTAAAAACCTATATGGAACCCAAATCAAGATGTCTCTACAAATGATGTATTTTTCTCAAGTTCAAAAAACATCACAGAATAATGCGTGATGTTAAAGTAAATAATTTCACCACAGCAGAGAAATTTACTTTGAGAAAATATTGTGCAGTATTTTTAAACATTTCATGCTAGATTTCAAGTATGTATATGCTATGTTAATACACCAGATTAATCCAAGTCTTTCAGATTTACGCAGTAGACTGTTGTATATGACCAGTTACCACATTGTCCTACTGCAATCACAAAAATGGTAAAAGGCAATCATTATGAAAGCTTAAAAAAAATCTTAATAAAAGGCAATCAACATGGCCCTCATTTTCTGTAAAAATTACCTTTCTTCCTCCTACTTTCTTGTTCCCTTTGAATGGTATCTTTTATAGCATATAACACCCAGGGATATATCACTTTTACTTGTTAGCCTTTTAAATGACTGTTTTCAGATACACTCAATTTATCAAAAGGCACCAAGATTCCTCAGTAGTTCCAAATTTTGTTCCTTTTTAAGTTCCTCTAGAATAATATTCCTCAGAAAAGTGTTACTCTAAGAACCACAAGAAAATGAATAATACAATACAGTAACTTGAAACTTGTACCATCAAAAAGGTAGAAATATATTAATAAGTTCCTTGAACTTTTCATTTAGGACAGAAGTCAAAATAACTTTCTGAACAAACATAAAAATAGAGCACATTTATTGACAGTAGGAAAACCCCTAAGCTTTAACAATGTATTAAATCTGACGTAATAACACACAGCAAAAAGCATTAGAAATTCACTGCCAGATATTCTGATGCATTATCCTGAAAATACTTCTTATACATAACACTAACATATAACAAAGTATGGTATTCATTTTACAGGAAAAAAAGGTAAGTTTTATCACAAAAACAGATTTGTTGGATTTCAGCTTTTGATTACTCATTAGAGATATATTTTAAAGATAAAAAAGAAATACAAGATTCACCCTTAAAATAAACAAGTATATCTATAATCCATTAATACTTCTTATGCTCTTACAATGTAAAACATTTAGAAACTTCTGCACTCTCAAAATTTTGGCCCGTTAACCTATTTGGTTTTAACATATTCTAAATTTCCTTTTGAGAATCAGATTAAAGTTTTCGGTCCATCAGTCCAATAAGGTAGAGTGATTCTATTTCTTTTTCTTCTTCTTTGGTGGTTCATCTTCAGAGCTGCTATCCGTGCTGGTGCTGCTACTACTGGAAGAGCTGGAATCTGAGTCTGAATCAGAGGACGAGGAAGAGCTTGTGGAGGAGGCTGAAGATGATGAACTGGAGGAGCTTTCATCAGTATCACTGTCCTCAGAGGAGGATGAGGTAGATGTTTCTTCACTTTCTGATGAGGAATCACTAGCTGAACTGTCACTGCTATTGCTACTGGAACTGGTTACACTCTTAGACCTATTAGACAATTAACAGTTATATACATGGAAAGCTGACATTTAATAGAATGTTAATTTCATAAGAATATTATGTACATGTATTGCTAAAGCTTTGCTAGCATGCTATTCCTAGACTTGATGCTTTTGGGACTGCCTAACTATTATAACCATACCACCTTCCCCACCATAACAAGGTCTTTTACTTTAGCAATTTAACTCTCTTGGATGGAGTTCAAGTTAAGTGTACCTAATATATTACGTTCCACAGCAAATAATATTAGAATAAAGTTGCAGTATAACAATTGGGCTTATTTATTTATTTATTATTTTATTTTTTTTCTTTACTGATTCCAGAGAGAATGGAAGGGAGGAGAGAGAAACAGAAACATTGACGAGAGAGAGAACATCGACTGGCTGCCTCCTGCATTCCCCCCTCTGGGGACCTGGCCCACAACGTGGGCTTGTGCCCTGACCGGTAATCAAACTGGCAACCCCCTGATATATGGGTCAACACCCAACCACTAAGCCACATCTGCCAGGCACAGTTGGATGTATTTAAACCTCATGAAGAGTAGCAAATATTTCATAATCTTAACTACTTTATTTTTTAATCCTCACCCGAGTACATTTTTCCATTTATCTTCTAATAAGGTGTAAGGGAGAGGGAGGGAGGGACTGAGAGAAACATCGATATGAGAAAGACACACTGATTAGTTGCCTCCTGCATGACACCGACCAGGGTAGGGGACCAAACTGCAACCAAAGTACATGCCCTTGACTAGAATCAAACCAGCAACAATTTGGTTCACGGGCCAATGCTCTAACTGCTAAGACAAACTGGCCAGGGCTACTAGTGAAGTTGTTTTTTTTTTTTCATAACCTTAACTACTTTAGACCAGATAGAGCTGGTCAATACTTTCTTACCAGTCTAATAACATTTCCTATTCTAAGCTAGGAGCAATTATTTACTATTTCCAGGTAGAAGGACTCTGGAAAGTAGGAGAAAAAGGAGACATAAAGGGAAATAAATTCCAGATGGGTAAAGAGAGAAACATATCAGAAAATAGAATGATATTTAATCATAAATTGCAAACAAGAAACTTTAGATCCAAATCATACATACTATTTTAAAAATCACTCTTCCTATCCTTCCAACTAGTATTACATATTAACTATATAATACTCCTGAAGCCACACATACCTTTTTTTTTTGGTCTTTCTTTCTACATTATTTTCTTCAATGCTGATAAACAGGAGGGGAAAAAGAAATTCCTGTTAATAGAGTGATTATACATAGCTCAGACCAACCCTTCTGTTATCCCCCAAACTATTTTACATTGGAGAAACACTTTGTCTTTTATAACATGTACTCAGAGTCGAGTATTTCTTGTTATAACCAAATGCAAAGTTTCCTACTGTAGGTTGTGTGTGGTACATAAAGTCAACTTAACCAGCACTGAAGCAAGACATGCTATTTATCAACTTTATCTTAAAAGCCAGGTAAGTTAGTAGTTAAGATGACTGAGTGCACCATTTTGATTCTTTGTCAGTTTTGAACTTAGATTGATATGGCTAAATTAACTACATCCTGAACAACAATACAAAATAAATGATAGCACAACAGTTGTAATTTATAATGAGTTCAGAGTCATATTATAAATGGCCTTTTCATATAAAAAGAAAAGCAACCTTTAATTATAAAATAAACATTTCTTGTTCTGTATGTCCCCTAAATGTTCAGTTATATACTATGACAATTAATACTTCGAGACTGTGTTCCCTCACATCATTTACAAAAGAACAAAGTCTGGTGAATTTTTAGTGAAATATACAAATGGCTTCCCAAACAACATGCATACTAAATCATGTTTTTAAATTACAGAATTACTTCTATTATTATAACACTTGTAAATTTAATATTTCTATATTTTGGACTTATATTTCCTATATAACGCTTCTATCCTTATTTTCTGAGTCTTCAAATATAAATATATATGTATGTAAAGTTGTTTTACACAATGGAATTACTGAATTGTCATTTTGGGGGTAAAATAAACCACATCACAAGAATCCATGATCACTGAAATTTATAGACTTCCATCATTTTATCATTAAACCAAACATCAGCAGTCTTTATGTAACAGAGCCATATCTAAAATTCATGTAGATCTATGAATTTTGAAGATCAAGATACTTGTGCAATACAACTAGAAAAATAAAAAGTAAAAGTAAATGTTGGGGTGAAGTTATTCATTACTCTTATATTTTATTTTTTAGAACAGAGGTCTTCAAACATTTTTTACTTACATTTCTAATAAAATAATTTTGAAAAACTATGTTTCTCCCTCACATACTTTTTAAATTCTAAGTTCCAATATTTATAAAAGGTACACTTACTGGCATATTATATATTGGTATTTTAAAAAGAAAATTGTTATATGACTTTGATAACTGCATCCAATGAAAAGTAAATGTCACAATAATTTGATACCTACCACAATCCACTTAAAAAACACATGAACAAGGCTTATCTTTAACAATTGGTCCTTTTACATTGTCCTTTATTTCCTTTTGAACTTGTACTTTTATTCTGCTTTCCCCATAGAAAGTATTTTAAATATTCTTATGCCTGAAAATTTAACTGATCACTTATGATACTTCTCTGTAACAAATATAAAGATATAACTTGAAATTGTATCTTTTAATTTCCTGTGATCATAAAGCTTTAAAACTGTTTTTAAAATTCTGAACTAAGCCCTGGCCAGTTTGGCTCAGCGGTTAGAGGCTTGGCCTGCGGTCCAGAGAGACTGGGTTTGGTTCCCGCTAAGGGCACATATCTCGGTTGCAGTTTGTCCCTGGCCCTGGTTGGGTCGTGCAGGTGGCAGCCACTCGATGTGTCCCTTTCACATCAATGTTTCTCTCTCTCTCTCTCTTCCTCTCACTCTGTCTGACCAAAAAGTGAAAAAATGTCCTCAGGTGAGGATAAAATAAATAAATAAATAAAATTCTGAACTGAATTACCATTACCAGTATGACTACAAAAGTGATTAAAGCAATGTAAAAATATATCATAAATTTCAATAACTATTATACATCAAATAATTTTATTGGGAATGCATTTCTTAATGACATGGATTTTTTTTCTAGTTTACGTATCCATGAATCTTATTGCTAGATTATGACAAGGTTCAACATCAATTCAATTCTTTTTTTTTAATCCTCACCCGAGGACATTTTTGCATTTATCTTCAGATAGAGCAGGAGGGAGAGAGGGGGGAAGAGAGGGGGGGGGGGGAGAAACATGGATGTGAGAGGGATACATTGAGTTGTTGCCACCCACACAATCCCAACCAGGGCTGAGGACAAACCGCAACTGAGGTACGCACCCTTAGTGAGAACCGAACCCGGGACTCTCCATCTGCAGGCCAACACTCTAACCGCTGAGCCAAACAGGCCAGGGCCAATTCAATTCTTACATTTAATTTTTATAGATTTAACCATGGTAGACCTTGCTAACTAACTAACTAGGTAGATGGGACTAGGAAGTTTTGTTGTAGTGATGTTAGTCAATGCTTTTAACTCCTCTCATGTTATATTCTACAAGTAACATAATAATGTATCATTAAAATATACTTATAGCATCGGCCTGGTCCCAAGAGACCTGGGTTCGGTTCCCGCTAAGGGCACATACCTCAGTTGCAATTTGTCCCCGGCCCTGGTTGGGTCGTGCAGGTGGCAGCCACTCGAGGAGTCCCTTTCATGTCGATGTTTCTCTCTCTTCCTCTCTCTCCCTCCCACTTTATCTGAACAAAAATTTGAAAAAAAAAACAAACAAAAAACAAAAACTATACACACACACACACACACACACACACACTTATAAATTGAAAACTCCTGCTTCAATTTTATTGGGGAAAGAAGTTTACAGACTAATTTACTTGTGATAATTAGGGCCATTCACTTTCTCAGTACAAAACCAGTATTTTGAAAGATCTCTAGGTTTTTATACATGAAGACAATATACCAAGGTAAGGTTAAAGAGAGGTGAGAGGAATGCCTTTCTTTTGTGAAATTAAAGAAAGGTTGATGGGAAAGGTGAGCAGTAAAGGAGAACCAGGAGCCATCAACAAATCATCTAACAACAAGTGTTGGCGAGGGTGTGGAGAAAAGGGGACTCTAGTACACTGCTGGTGGGAATGCAGACTGGTGCAGCCACTATGGAAAACAATATGGTGTTACCTCAAGAAATTAAAAATTAGCCCTGGCCGGTTTGGCTCAGCGGTTAGAGCGTCCACCTGTGGTCCGGAGAGATCCGGGTTCAGTTCCCGCTAAGGGCATGTACCTCGGTTGCAGTTTGTCCCCGGCCCTGGTTGGTCGCGCAGGTGGCGGCCACTCGATGTGTCCCTTTCACATCGATGTTTCCCTCTCTCACTCTCTTCCGCTCTCTCCCTCCCACTCTATCTGTGCAAAAAAATGGAAAAATGTCCTCGGGTGAGGATTAAAAAAAAAAAAAATTTAAAAATTAAACTTCCATTTGACCCAATGATCCCGCTTCTAGGAATATACCCTAAGAAGCCTGAAACACCAATCAGAAAGAATATATGTACCCCCTTGTTCATAGCAGCACTATTTACAATAGCTAAGATCTGGAAATAGCCCAAGTGTCCATCAGTAGACGAATGGATAAAAAAGCTGTGGTACATGTACACAATGGAGTACTATGCAGCGGTAAGAAAGAAAGATCTCTTATCCTTTGAGATGGCATGGAGGGACCTGGAAAGTATTATCCTAAGTGAAAGAAACCAAGCAGAAAAAGACAAATACCACATGATCTCACTTATATACGGAATATAATGAACATAACAGTCTGAGGAATACGGTAGACCCAGAAACATGGAAGTAGGCCACAGACTGACATCCCTCAGAAGAGGGGGTGGGAGGGTGGGAAGAGATAAACCACAGAACTTATATGCATGTATGCATGATCAATGGACATGGACAACTAAGCCGGGGATGGGACGGGGGTGGGGTGGGGAGGGGGGTGCCAATGGGGTAAAAAAGGAGAAATAGCTGTAACAGAAAAATAAATAAATAAATTTATTTTAAAAAAAGGAGAACCAGGAGACAAGTTCTCATACAGATTTATTTTTGGAAAAAGTATATATGAATGTTCATAATCTAGAAACTGATCACTTATCTATTCCTACATAACTCTTAAAGAGCCCCATGTCCACAAATGGAAGGCAGCTCCCTTGAAAGTCCTGATGTTTATAACACTATTATAAAGCTAACAGTCCTAAAGACACTGCTTCTAATTTGTAGCACTAAGTTGAACCGACCCCTTCCTATTTCAGTTTCTCTAAAACATGTGTATTCACTTATTTCATAAGAATTTTAAAAGCTTTATTCAAAGGACATAAAAGGGTAAATAACAATTTTCCAGTTTCCTTCCTACCCAGTTCTCCTTTTAGAAAGAAACTACTATTATCAATCATTTATATTTTTTAAAAATCCCATTATTCCTTTTTCTTTATCGCTTTTTTAGAGAGAGAGGAAGGGAGAGATAGAAACACTGATGAGAGGGAACATTGATTGGCTGCCTCCTTCATGCCCCTCACTGGGGATTGGGCCCATAACCTGGGCATGTGCCCTGACCGGGAATCGAACCAGCAACCTCTGTATGCATGGGTCGATGCTCAACCACTGAACCACACCAGCCAGGCCTTTTTTCTTTTCCTTTCTTTTTTTTATCCTCACCCAAGGACATTTTTCCATTTTTTGTTCAGATAGAGTGGGAGGAAGGGAGAGAGAAACGTCAACATGAAAGGGACACAGTGAGTGGTTGCCACCCGCACGACCCAATCAGGGCCGGGGACAAACTGCAACTGAGGTACATGCCCTTAGCGGAAACTGAACCCAGGTCTCTCTGGACTGCAGGCCAACACTCTAACCGCTGAGCCAAACCAGTGAGGGCCCTTTTTTCTTTTTTAACATAAATGAGAGTATATTTTATATACTGTTTTTTACTTGATCCATTACTTAATATAAATATCTTGGATACTTATCTTGGATATCTTTTCATATCAGCTTATATAGTCTACCACATAGTATTCTGTTGTCATGTCACTGGTAGTTGAGACAATAAAGCAAAATAATTAAGAGCATGGATACTAAAAAGACTGGTTGGTTTAACACTTAACTTTTACACTTATTAGCTGTGTGACAACACTGAGCAAGTTACTGAACCTCTCAGTTTCTTCATATGTAAAATAGGGATTAATGATAGTACTTACCTTTATGTTATAGATATGATGCTTAAATATGCTAATACTTTTAAAGAACTTAGTATAGTGCCTGGCACATAGGAAGCACTCATTAAACATTAGCTAATATTATAATCTAAACCTAGATAACCACCATGAGACATTTAGGCCCTTAATAAAGTCTATAAATACAAATTAAAATATTCCTTTGGAAAAAAATAAAGTAAAATATTCCTTTGGATATCACATGCAAACTTACCTTTGTTGTAATAATAATCTGTTTTCTTTTTCTTTTAAAGCTTTCTTTAGTTCTGCTGTTCTTGAAGGCCTATGTAGGTATTTTCTTTTTCCTGTGCATTCATAAGTCCAGTGTCCAAATTCCAAGCATTTCTGACATCTTACATGTTGCTTATTTGCTTCACTACAGAGCAAAAATCAGAATACAGGCCTTAAATTCTGCCCTGAAAAGCATGAACAATATAACGTGTAAAATGATGTTTATTTTTAAGTAAAAACAACATCATTTTACACTTTAAATTGTTTATGTTAGGTTTAATCACAAGACAGCATAGTAAATGGCTGAACCTTGAAGTTAAGACAGAATTGAGCTCAAATCTTCATTCCTCAATTCCATTGCCATAGAGGTAAACTAGGTAACTCAGACAATGCTGAGGCTCAGAACTAGAAAAGACAGTCAAAACATTTAAAACAATCTGCTTGAGTTATCAGAGAACTAACAAGAAGGTAAAGAATAACCAAGTCAATATATGGAAGAAGATGGAAATCCAGAGTGATCAGCCCTACAGTTTGTATCCATAGTTAGGGCTCTGAGGGTCTATCCCTTAAGAATAAATCAACCACATATGGAGTGCAGCCTGGTTTCTAGACATCAAGGAGACTAAGAAAAACCTGAGTTCCTGAAATTGGATTAAGATACAGTAGCAAAGAAAAACAGATGAAAGAATTGGAAAGGAAGAAATAAAACTGTCATTCCTCATTGATGATGAATTATATACACGGCAAATCCAAAAGAATCTACAGATAAAAATATGTGAACAGTATGAATTCATAAATGAGTTTAGCAAGGCTTTGAACTGGGGTCAGCAAATTGTCCATAATGTGTCATATAGTAAATATTTTAGGCTTTGCAGATCAAGAGGCAACAGTGAGGATATTATGTAGACACTTATATAATAGAAAAAAAATTTCCAGAAATATTTTGTCAATAAAAATATTTCAGATAAAAGAGGTTTATTAATGAGAAGAATGGAATTCTTTTATGGAGGATAACATTTCACTCAATTGAGATTCGAAGTTAGTATTTCCTATAATTAAATTGATCACATGTACACATATGTAAATAATATTTTTAGCACCCTGGCGGGGTAGCTCAGTTGGTTGGAGTGGTGTCCTGATACACCAAGGTTGCAGGTTTGATCCCTTGTCAGGGCACATACAACAATCAACCAATGAATGCATGAATGGGTGGAACAACAGATAGATGTTTCTCTCTCTGTAAAATAAATAAAGTTAATTTAAAAAAAAATTCTTAGTTTCCAGGACTATAAGAATAGGCAGTAGGCAGGATTCAGTTTGCCAAACTGTGTTAGATATAAGGTCAATATGTAAAATTGAATTGTTTCTATCTAATAAAAACAGTTAAAAATAAAAAATTGAAAAGTGATATTTATAATATCCTGAAAAATACCAAATACCTAGAAATAAACAGAAGAAAATATGTATACGACTTTTATGCAGAAAACAAACATTACCGAGAGGAACTAGGCATTTAGATAAGTGGCTAATACAGGCATATACCATATCCATAGATTGGAAGACTCAATATTTTAATTTTTTTAAAAATTAAAAATTTTTTTTTTTTGCAGATAGAGTGGGAGAAAGAGAGAGGAAGAGAGAGAGAGAAACATATGAAAGGGACACATCGAGTGGCTGCCACCCACACAACCCAACCAGGGCTGGGGACAAACTGCAACCAAGGCATGCGCCCCTAGCAGGAACCAAACCCAGGTCTCTCTGTACCGCAGGCCGATGCTCTAACCGCTGAGCCAAACTGGCCAGGGAACTCAATATTTTAAAAATGTCCCTTCTCCCCAAACTGATCTATTGATTCAAAGTAATGCCAATAAAAACCTCAAGTTTTGACCAAAATGAGCTGAGACTAGTAAAAACATCAAGAACATAAAAAATTATTTCCTTTTGTATCTCAGTTATGATTAAAGCACAGAGAATAAAAAAGAGATAAGTTCACTATTTGGCATGCTAGGCAAATAACCACCAATATCACGTTGTGGGCTAAGAGAATAAGGAGGACTATTTTATTTTGCTTTAGTCTGAACTCAGATATAATTATACACAGAATAAAAAGAGTAATACTGAAGTCCAAGATACTTGAGGAGAATGTAATAGAGCCCTTATCCATTGCAAATGTGTTTAAATCACATGACCTGGTGACTGTTCCCTGACATACCAGAGATTTTCCAGGTGAGACTGTTGGACTGCTGCTAGTAATCTGAGGAACTCTGGCATACAGGAGTGGTGCTAAAGACTGGAAGTAGGCAAATGCTGTCTTGATTTTAGAAGTGGAAAGAAGAGTAGATTCCTCAAACTAGACCAGTGAACTTGACATCTATTCCAGCCAAAATTTTGGCTGGATTTATTAAATTGACTCAGAAAGGAGAGCTATGATCACTAGGTATCAAATCATTACAGACTAATACTGTATTGCCTTTTGGGTATTTGTATTTCAATAAGGCATTCGGGAAAGTCTCTCACAACATCCTTGTGAACAAAACAGAACAATTAGGTAGATCAGTTGAACATCATGGTCAGAGTACTGCTTAACAGGTTGAAGTAAAATATATGTTGAGTGGTATCCAGTGATGGCCTGCAGGGTTTGGTCCTCAGTTTGGTCTTGTTCAACAATTTTAAAAGGGCACAGATGTGAATATTTATCAAACCTTCAGTTGACACAAAGCTGGGATGGGTAGCTAAAACGACGGATAACCAAATCAGGATCCAAAAAAGGTCTTGACAGGCTGGAATTCTTTGTCGAATCTAACAAGATGAAATTTAACAAGGGTAAAAATAAATCTGAGATTTAAGTCCAGAAAATCAATACAAGTACAAGACAGGGGAGCTTGACTTGATGGCAATTCAAATGGAATTTGGTTTAGGTTATATTCTGGGAAATTAGAAAGAAGCAGGATTTAGCTTCATAAATATTATTTTCCTTTCAGCTCAGTATAAACTTTTTGATATATTTGAAAATGTAACAGGCTACTTCAGGAGGTGAATATGTCCTTATTGCACGCAGGTCTTTCAGACAAAGTTAGATGACTACCCTGAATGCTACAGAGACAATAGTGGAATCCAATGAAGGTTTCAGTAGAAGAAATGACCTCAGCCCAGCTGGTGTGGCTCAGTGGTTGAGTGTCGACACATGCACCAAAAGGTCACCAGTTCGATTCCCGGTCAGGGCACATGCCCAGGTTGTGGGCCAAATTCCAGTTGGGGGTGCATGCAGGAGGCAGCCAATCAATGTTCTCTCTCATCGATGTTTCTGTCTCTCCCTCTCCCTTCCTCTCTCTCTAGAGATCAATAAAGAAAAAAAATAAAATAAAAATAAATAAAAGAAATGACCTCAGTAGTGCCAAGATTCTATAATTTACTTACATGAATATAAGTACATGTAATTACAATTTAAAAAGTGAAAATAGCCCAGTGGGTGCGGCTCAGAGGTTGAGCATTGGCCCATGCACCAAGAAGCCACTGGTTCGATTCCTGGTCAGGACACATACCTGGGTTGTGGGCTCAATCCCCAGTAGGGGTGTTTAGGAGGCAACTGATTGATGCTGATGCTTCTCTCTCATCAATGTTTCTCTCTCTCTCCATCCCCCTTCCTCTCTAAATTCAGTAAAAACACATTTAAAAAATAAAAAGTGAAAATAATCTCATTTCAATTGATTTAAAGTTAAGTCCCTGAAAGATCTGCTGCATGGGGAGTTCAAATTTAGGCTCTTTTGTTTTCCTCTTATTTTTCCCTATTAGTCCAAAGACTTTAAAAGAAATACAACAGGTCCTGGCCGGATTGGCTCAGCAGTTAGAGTGTTGGCCTGCGGTCCAGAGAGACCCGGGTTCTGTTTCCACTAAGGGCATGTACCTTGGTTGCAGTTTGTCCCCGGCCCTGGTTGGGTTGTGCGGGTGGCACCACTTGATGTGTCCCTTTCATGTCGATGTTTCTCTCTCTCTCTCTCTCTCTCCCTCCTACTCCATCTGAACAAAAAATGGAAAAATGTCCTCGGGTGAGGATAAAAAAAAAAAAAAGAAAGAAATACAATAGTACTTTCTCACTTCTCTTGACCAACTTAAAAGCAGTTTAAAACTTTTTATTATGGAAGTAATATATGCTCTTTATAAATAAAATTAGCCCTGGCTGGTTTTGCTCAGTGGTTAGAGTGTCGGCCCACGAACCAGAGAGACCGGGTTCGGTTCCCGCTATGGGCATGTACCTTGGTTGCCCCCGGCCCTGGTTGGGGTTGTGTGGGTGGCAACCAGTCGATGTTTTTCTCTCTCTCTCTTCCTTCCTCTCTCCCTCCTGCTCTATCTGAAGATAAATGCAAAAATGTCCTCAGGTGAGGACAAAACTAAATAAATATATAAATAAAATTAAACCTTGTTGACAAATATAAAATTAAAAGCAAAGGCCTCTTGCCCTGGCCGGTTTGGCTCAGCCGTTAGAGCGTTGGCCTGCGGTCCAGAGAGACTCGGGTTTGGTTCCCGCTAAGGGCATGTACCTCGGTTGCAGTTTGTCCCCAGCCCTGGTTGGATCGTGGGGGTGGCAACCACTCGATGTGTCCCTTTCACATCGATGTTTCTTTCTCTCTCTCTCTCTCCCCCCCTCCCTCTCACTCTATTTGAACAAAATATCAAAAAATGTCCTCGGGTGAGGATTAAATAAAGAAATAAAATGAAATGAAAGCAAAGGCCTCTTTTCTGTCCCCCCCACTAAAACAGTCCTCCAAATCTCCTGGTCCACTTCCCCACCCCTAGTCTCTAAAGGCTCTCCTTCTCTGTCTGCAGACTTACGGTGAGTATACCATGCCGGCTTTTATTATATGCCATATGTTTTCTTTCAACAAGACCAGAAACTTCCAAAGTCTGTCATTTATTTATGTACCAAATACAGGTATACTACAGAAATGGAACATTTGTATAACTTTCTGATACTTCCAAAACAAGAAATAGCAATATTCTTTAGGTGCTAAAGTCTTACTTTCACTTCATATTTAGAGTGCACATTGGTTGATTTTGCCAATCAAGCATTCATTACTTTCTCTAACCTACCCATCCAGCTGATCATCGATCTGTAGAGATCCATTCAATTGTACTGGAAAGAGAATGAGATCTTTGTCAAAATCCCATAGACTTGGTTCAGGGTTGGGCATGTAACCCAATCTAGACCAATGAGATGCCATCAACTTGAAGCTGAGGGGATATAAAGGACCCTAGATACTGCAGCCATCTTGATACCAAAGGACTGAACCTATACAAGTATGGAACCAACACCCAAAAGAACAAACCTGAGAGTTAGAGAGTGGACCCTGGTGGTATCATTTAGTATGTTTATTAAGTATTACAAACACTCCATTCGTGATCTCAGAACTGACTTCAAAGCCTTCTTCCTCAATCAAGCATACTACCTTGTACTCTGACTCTAAAGCTCAAGCAACTCTTCTCAACTTGCATGAGAGTCTGAGAGGAGAGGAAGATGGGCAGGGCTCTTAGAATAAAAAATATAAATATTAAAAATATAGCCTTGCAGCATGGCCGCCAGCGCCTCCGCCGCTTTAGTGTTTTTAAGTCAGGAGAGCGGGGCCGGGGCAGGGGGTGTTGTGGGGCTGCGGGCCCCAGCTCCGGTCACTGTGGACAGTTTTTTCTTCAGCTGTGAGCTCTCAGGCCACACCAGTTCCTTCACCTTCAAGGTAGAGGAAGAAGATGATGCGGAGCACGTGCTGGCTTTGACCATGCTCTACCTCACCGAGGGGGCCAAAGATGAGTGTAATGAGGTAGAAATTGTGGCCCAGAACCATGACCACCAGGAGATTGCAGTCCCTGTGGCCAACCTCAAGTTGTCCTGTCAACCCATACTCAGTTTGGATGACTTTCAGCTCCAGCCTCCTGTAACCTTCCGCCTGAAGTCAGGTTCTGGTCCTGTGCGGATCACTAGCTGGCACCAGATTGTTACTGTAAGCAATGATGCTTTTGAGGAAGAAGAGGGGGGTGAAGAGGCGAAGGAAGCTGAGTTGTGCCCCATCCTGCCTGCCAAGAAGCAGAGGGGCAGGTCCTAGCCCTCCTTGGTCAGCTAGCTGTCTGCCGTACATGCCATGCACCACGTTGCTGTACAACTATCAAGAATTTAAAATGTCTTCTTCATTGAAGAGGAGGGGTGGGGTGGGGGCAGAGTCTTGGGCTAGGAGAAAGGGAGCCATTCTCCATATGGCTCTGGTGTTATAATTCTATACCATGCCTAGGGCTCCCCTTTTCTCCAGGAGTGGGAGGAACTCTGAACTGTCCTGACCCTATCTCTCTACTTGCCTTTGAGGCTGGAGGTCAGCATCTGAAGCTCAGGACTACACATTTTAAACACTTTTTACATTTTGGGATAAAGAGTGAAATAAAGTGGTGTAGAGTTTTTTTTGCAAATACATAAATAAATAAATAAATAAATAAATAAATAAAATAAAAATAAAAATAAAAATATAGCCCTGACCAGTGTGGCTCAGTTGGTTAGAGCCTCATCCTGTGCACTGGAAGGCTGTGGGTTTGATTCCCAGTCAGTGCACATACTTAGGTTTCGGGTTTGATCCATGTTTGGATACATATAGGAGACAACTGATCATCTCTCACACTGATCTCTCTCTCTCTCTCTCTTTCTCCCTCTCAGAAAAAAAAAAAAATATATATATATATATATATATTTTATCCTCACTGGAGGACATTTTTTGGAGGACATATTTTGATATTTTGTTCAGATAGAGTGGGAGGGGGAGAGAGAGAGAGAGAGAAACATCAATGTGAAAGGGACACATCGAGTGGTCGCCACCCACACGACCCAATCAGGGCCGGGGACAAACTGCAACCGAGATACGTGCCCTTAGCGGGAACCGAACCCCGGTCTCTCCAGACCGCAGGCCAACGCTCTAACCGCTGAGCCAAACTGGCCAGGGCATAGAAATATAAACACATATATGCTAGAAGAATACAAGCGACATATTATTAATATGCAAATAGTGATGGCATGAAATGGCGAGAGAATGAAAAAGAGGCAGACGTTTGGGTGAGCAGGTTGGTAGAAGGAAAAAAGGTCTTTACAAGAAAGGGGTATCTGGGATGATTTTTGCATCATCTGTCTACAGCAATCCTCTTGTGCCACTCTCTCACTCATTTGCTAAAATGGCCATCTTTCAGTTCTTAAAAACTAACCTCTTTCCTATCTCAAGGCAATATGACACTGTCTGGAAGCTCCTTCTCCAAATCCTCTCATGACTGGCTCCTTTCTCACACTTTCGATCTCCATTCAAACGTCACCTCTTCAGAAATACCTGTCCTGTTCAACCAACCTAACCGGGGCGTTCTCTCTTTCCACCACCTGTTATTTCCTTCAAAGTTCTTATCACCAGCTGTATTTACTTAAACGTTTATTTATCGACTCTTCCCACCACTAGAATGTAAGCTCCCTAAAAGCGGAGTTTGTCTTGAAACCCTTTTTTACTTTATATTCAAATTCGGGCACAGAGCGGCAGGTAATGAATAGACTGACATGTCTTGAAGAAAATGAATGGCAGAAAGTGAGACCACAGCTTGGGAGAAAAGTCGGCGTTTTAGTTAGGCTGTTCCTAGGGAAGGCAATCGGAAGGGTGCAGGAAAAGCCAGCTAGGCTGGAGGCGGCATGTAGAAAGCTGAAGCTTTGGTGGGCGAGAACGGGGAGTCCGGATCGGGCCTTCAGGCATCCCCTGGCCACACAGGGTGGGCAAAGGGGCACAAACCACTTAGTGACTAACTCCCGTGCGTTCCCTTCCGCGAAACCAAATTCTAGGTTCTTTCAGATCCCGCCCCGTGGACCCTACGCAGCCATCTACGAAATCGCCAGCCCATGGACACCAAATTCATTGCCCGGCCCGAGCAGCGAGCAGGCAACATGAGAAAAACAGCCATACTCTGCGGGTCCCACTAAGGATCCGACACCGGCACCGCATCCGGGCGCCCGCGCACCCGCCGGCTGACGCGCTTCTCCCCGCCCCCAGCCCGCCCCGCCGCCCGCCAAGGGCCCTCACTTACGCTTGTCTCCGGGCTATGAGCCGATGCATGGGAGTCGCCATCTTAGCGCGGCTGAGGTGTGCCGCGCTGGGTTTTGGGAAACTCCTAGGAAGGGGCGGGGACTTCGAACTCGAGAGGACGCAGGCGTGGGCGGAACTAGTCCCGCCTCGGTGGCTTCTGGGGACAGCCCCGCGTCGTTGTGTCTCAGCTGTGGGTCTCAGGTTTGCAAAAGGGGAGTGAGGCCAGTGGTCTGGCCAGAACAGGGTTTTGTAGCTTGGGTTCTTGTACAGTTGACCTTTGAATAACGCAGGTTGGAACTGTGTGGGTCCACTTATACAGGTATGTATTTTTCAGTATATATTCCTGATGTGTCCCTTCCTATCCACATCAGGAATTCAACCAACCTTGGATGGAGACCATCAATTGAAAGACTAGCAAACCACGAAGTGAAAATATATGTTAATTATTTCTATTTGTATGTGTTTCATAGGGACATTATAAAGGCCAAATAATACTATGTCAGTAAAGCTTCTTTGTCAATGGGTAAAAGATGATACAAATAATTATTTTAGGATCTTTTCTTTATCTTTATTGTTGTAAGTATTACTGATTTCCTCCTTTTTCCCCCACTGACACTCCCCCCCCTTCACCACACTGTTGCCTGGGACCATTAACCAATGCATGTACATAAATTCTTTGGTCTATTTTAGGATAGTTTAGCATTTAGAATCAGATTATGGAGATTTTATTACCTTAAACCCACATTCTTTGAAACATATAGAAATTTGAAATTATACATATGTTTCTGAGTCCCAATTCATTTTTTAAACAATTATCTAACACCTAAAATATTTAGGAACTACAGATAAAGCTCTGTATGAAGTTCTTGTACACATGGAGCTTTCTTCAGACAATAAACAGAGGCAGTGTCCAACAAGCATAAATACTTTAAAGAAAAATAATTGAGCCTGGCTGGTGTGGCTCAGTGGTTGAGCATCGATCAGCCCATGCACCAAGAGGTCAGTCGATGTTCTCTCTCATCGATGTTTCCATCTCTCTCTTTCTCCCCCTTCCTCTCTCTCTAAAATCAATAAAGAAAAAAAGTTTAAAAAAAGAAAAATAATTGAGTGGCCCTGGCCAGACAGATCTCTTGGTTAGAGTGTGGTCCCCATAGCCAAGGTTGCAGTTGGTCCAGGTCAGGGCACATATAAGAATCAACCAACCTATGCATAGAGTGGAACAACAAACTGATGTCTCTCTCGCTCTCTCCCCCTCCCCTTCCTCTCTCTCTAAAATAAGTAAGTAAAAAATAGAAAAATAGTAACTTAAAAAAATAATTGAGTGTAAGGGAGGTAAAAAGTGATTTAGCATTGGGTGAAATCCAGAAGGTGAGGTCATGTGACCTCTGAGCACATCTTGTTCTCAAAAAGATGGTATTTACTTTCTGTTCTGTTCTTCAGCTTGCTTTGTTTATTCTTAGGTGTACTCAGGGACATCTTTTGCCCTGTATATCAGCACATACAGAGCTAATTCATTTTTTTATGTATTATGTTATATGGATTACACAGTTATTCCACAATTTATCCAACTAGTACCCTGTTGTTGAACAATTAGATCATTTGTTACAAACATGGAATGTACAGGTTTTTTTCTTAATCCTCACCCAAGGATAGTTTTCCTTTTATCTTCAGACAGAGTGGGAGGGGGGTGAAGGGGGGAGAGTGAGAGAGAGAGAAACATTGATGTGAGACAGACACATTGACTGGTTGCCTCCCGACCAGGGCTGGGGATTGAACCACAACTGAGGTACATGCCCTTGACTGGAATCGAACCCATGACTCTTTGGTCCATGGGCTGATGCTCTAATCACTGAACCAAACCAGCCAGAGCAGAATGAACAGATTTTTTTTTTTTTTTTTTTATCCTCACCCGAGGACATTTTTCCATTTTTTGTACAGATAGAGTGGGAGGGAGAGAGAGGAAGAGATAGAGAGAGAGAAACATCAATGTGAAAGGGACACATCGAGTGGCTGCCACCGCACGACCAACCAGGGTCGGGGACAAACTGCAACCGAAGTACGTGCCCTTAGCAGGAACCGAACCCAGGTCTCTCCGGACCGCAGGCCGACGCTCTAACTGCTGAGCCAAACCGGCCAGGGCGAGATTTTTAAGCACTCACTGAGTCTCTGTAAGATGACTTCCTAGAAGTGGAATTGCTGGGTGAAAGGATATGAGCACTTTTAATTTAGATAGATATCATCTATGACCTTTAAATAGGTTGTACCCAGAACTGCTTCCTCCTCAGACCTGAGAATGGTCAAACTAACTTTTGTCTATCTAATAAACCAATATGATATATTATTAAGATTAAGTACCTTTTATATGATCATTGAACACTATCTTTCATGAATTGTTTGTTCAAATTCTTTGCCTATTTTTCTATTGATTTTTATCGTTTAACATTAACTTATAGAAACTTTTAATATTTTACAGATAAACATTTTGCTTTATATTTTCCTATTTTGTCTCTTGTCTTTTAACTTTGTGATCATTTACATTGTACAGAGACATTAAACTGTTATATAGGCTTTTTAAAAAAATGTATCTTTACTGTTGAAAATATTACAGATGTCCCCTCTTTTTCCCCCCACTGACCTGCTCCTCCCTGATTCCTTCCCCCTTCTACCTTCCCCACACTACTGTGTCCATTGGTTATGCATATATGCATATAAGTTCTTTGGTTTATCTCTTCCTGCCGCCTCCCTCCTTCCCTCTGAGGTTCCTCAGTCTAACAACCAATTTGTACTTCTCAATCCTTCACCTTTTTTATCCTCAGGGAGAGGGAGGAAGAGAGAGGAGGAGAGGGAGAGAGAGACATCAACATGAAAAGGACACATCAAGTGGCTGTCTCCTGCACAACCTCAACCAGGCCCGGGGATGAATCGCAACCGAGGTATGTGCCCTTGACTGGAATTGAACTCCAACCCATTGGTCTGTGGGCCGATGCTCTAACAACTTAGCAACCAGCCAGGGCTTTTCCTTGCTGTTTTTAAGATTCTCTTTGTCTTTAACCTTTTGCA